TCAGATAGGATTCCACACTCAGATAGATTTCCACACTCAGATAGGATTCCACACTGAGATAGGGTTCCACACACACACTCATAGGTTTCCACACACACTCAGATAGGTTTCCACACACACTCAGATAGAATTCCACACACACTCAGATAGGTTTCCACACACACTCAGATAGGATTCCACACACACTCAGATAGGATTCAGCACTCAGATAGATTTACACACTCACATATGATTCCACACTCAGATAGGGTTCCACACACACACTCAGATAGGGTTCCACACACACTCAGATAGAATTCCACACACACTCAGATAGGTTTCCCACACACACCAAGATATGTTTCCACACTCAGATAGGTTTCCATACACACTCATTTAGGATTCCACAGACACTCAGATAGGTTTCCACACTCAGATAGGATTCCATACACACTCAGATAGGGTTCCACACACACACTCATAGGTTTCCACACACACTCAGATAGGTTTCCACACACACTCAGATAGAATTCCACACACACTCAGATATGATTCCACACACACTCAGATAGGATTCAACACTCAGATAGATTTACACACTCACATATGATTCCACACTCAGATAGGGTTCCACACACACACTCAGATAGGGTTCCACACACACTCAGATAGAATTCCACACACACTCAGATAGGTTTCCATACACACTCATTTAGGATTCCACAGACGCTCAGATAGGTTTCCACACTCAGATAGGATTCCACACTCAGATAGGATTCTGCGCTCAGATAGATTTCCACACTCAGATAGGATTCCACACACACTCAGATAGGATTCCACATACACTGAGATAGGTTTCCACACTCAGATAGGATTCCACACTCTCAGATAGGATTCCACACTCAGATAGGATTCTGCACTCAGATAGGTTTCCACACTGAGATAGAATTCCACACACACTGGGATAGGATTCCACATACACTCAGATAGGTTTCCACACTCAGATAGGTTTCCACACACTCAGATAGGATTCCACACACTCTCAGATAGGATTCTGCACTCAGATAGGTTTCCACACACTCAGATAGGATTCTACATACACTCAGATAGGTTTCCACACACTCAGATAGGATTCCACACACACTCAGATAGGTTTCTGCCCCCTCAGATAGGTTTCCACACACACTAAGATATGTTTCCACACTGAGATAGGTTTCCACTCACACTCAGATAGGTTTGCACACTCAGATAGGATTCCACACACACTGAGATAGGATTCCACATACACTCACATAGGATTCCACACTCAGATAGGATTCCACACTCAGATAGGATTCCACACACTGAGATAGGATTCCACATACACTCAGATAGGATTCCACATACACTCAGATAGGTTTCCACACTCAGATAGGATTCCACATACACTCAGATAGGATTCCACACTCAGATAGGATTCCACACACACTCAGATAGGTTTCTGGACTCTCAGATAGGTTTCCACACTCTCAGATAGGATTCAAAACTCCGATAGGATTCAGCACTCAGATGGGTTTCCACACTGAGATAGGATTCCACATACACTGAGATAGGTTTCCACACTCAGATAGGTTTCCACACACTCAGATAGGATTCCACACACACTCAGATAGGTTTGCACACTCAGATAGGATTCCACACACACTCAGATAGGTTTGCACACTCAGATAGGATTCCACACACACTCAGATAGGATTCCACATACACTCACATAGGATTCCACACTCAGATAGGATTCCACACACACTGAGATAGGATTCCACATACACTCAGATAGGATTCCACATACACTCAGATAGGTTTCCACACTCAGATAGGATTCCACATACACTCAGAATGGATTCCACACTCAGATGGGTTTCCACACTGAGATAGGATTCCACATACACTGAGATAGGTTTCCACACTCAGATAGGTTTCCACACACTCAGATAGGATTCCACACACACTCAGATAGGTTTGCACACTCAGATAGGATTCCACACACACTCAGATAGGTTTGCACACTCAGATAGGATTCCACACACACTCAGATAGGATTCCACATACACTCACATAGGATTCCACACTCAGATAGGAATCCACACACACTGAGATAGGATTCCACATACACTCAGATAGGATTCCACATACACTCAGATAGGTTTCCACACTCAGATAGGATTCCACATACACTCAGAATGGATTCCACACTCAGATAGGATTCCACACACACTCAGATAGGTTTCTGGACTCTCAGATAGGTTTCCACACTCTCAGATAGGATTCAAAACTCCGATAGGATTCAGCACTCAGATGGGTTTCCACACTGAGATAGGATTCCACATACACTGAGATAGGTTTCCACACACTCAGATAGGATTCCACACACACTCAGATAGGTTTCTGCACTCTCAGATAGGTTTCCACACACTCAGGTAGGGTTTTACATACACTGAGATAAGTTTCCACACTCAGATAGGTTTCCACACACTCAGATAGGTTTCCACACACTCAGGTAGGATCCACACACACTCAGATAGGTTTCTGCACTCTCAGATAGGTTTCCACACACACTGAGATAGGTTTCCACACTGAGATAAGTTTCCACACACACTCAGATAGGATTCCACACACACTCAGATAGGTTTGCACACTCAGATAGGATTCCACACACACTGAGATAGGTTTCCACACACACTCAGATAGGTTTCCACACACACTCAGATAGGTTTCCACACTCAGATAGGATTCCACACACACTCAGATAGGTTTCCACACTCAGATAGGATTCCACACTCTCAGATAGGATTCCACACTCCGATAGGATTCAGCACTCAGATAGGTTTCCACACTCAGATGGGTTTCCACACACTCAGATAGGATTCCACACACACTCAGATAGGTTTCTGCCCCCTCAGATAGGTTTCCACACACACTAAGATATGTTTCCACAATTAGATAGGTTTCCACACACACTCAGATAGGATTCCACACACACTCAGATAGGATTCCACACACACTCAGATAGGTTTGCACACTCATATAGGTTTCCACACACACTCAGATAAGTTTCCACAGACACTCAGATAGGATTCCACACTCAGGTTTCCACACACTCAGATAGGATTCCACACACACTCAGATAGGTTTCTGCCCCCTCAGATAGGTTTCCACACACACTAAGATATGTTTCCACAATTAGATAGGTTTCCACACACACTCAGATAGGATTCCACACACACTCAGATAGGATTCCACACACACTCAGATAGGTTTGCACACTCATATAGGTTTCCACACACACTCAGATAAGTTTCCACAGACACTCAGATAGGATTCCACACTCAGGTTTCCACACACTCAGATAGGATTCCACACACACTCAGATAGGTTTCTGCACTCTCAGATAGGTTTCCACACACACTCAGATAGGATTCCACACTCAGGTTTCCACACACTCAGATAGGATTCCACACTCAGATAGGATTCCACACTCAGATAGGATTCCACACTCATATAGGTTTCCACACACACTCAGATAGGATTCCACACTCAGGTTTCCACACACTCAGATAGGATTCCGCACTCAGCAAGAAGATTAAATACAGCTCAGGGTGTAAAAGGGCTCCTAGAAACTATCACAACACACATTAAGCTATTACATGTTGATTTGAAGTTGACTACTGTGGTAGCTAACTGGAAATCAGTCTGTAAAAGAAGTTGGTTTGAAACCAGCAAACAACAAAACAATGTAATATAATTTACAAGTGTTTACTTACATTTACACATTAATACAAATCAATACGAAGGTATTACTGTGGCAGTACAAGATATAGTGGCAGCACAAATTCAAAGGGAGTATGACACACAAGCAGTGATTGTAGCAATAAACACCATGATGATAATATTGCAACATATGGCCTGGGCTGAGTTTCCAGGGTCAGAATGATCTCAAAACTATGCTGGTCTTCCTGTAACTAAAGATGGAATATGAGATGAGAGTCAAGAGTATGCCCTTCTAATATACCAAAGAGAAAGCTGCCAGATATACATGTATAATAGTCAGGGTCAAAATATACTGGAAAGGGTATAGAGACATAGCACACAACTGCACCTATACTGAACAATGTCATACACTTTGAAACATTGTTACACAATGACTTGGACTCTAGATCATACTTCTTTAGCAGGTTGGCCACTACAAAACCCAGTATTTTATGAGCCTCAAAGCCAGTCACTGCCGCTATCCAAATCATGAGAAATAGCTTACAAAATTGTCTGGTCTATAATATATGGGTCCAGCCACAGTTCCACCCAGTTGCTGCTCTTTGAATATTGCTGACTTTATAACATATGTTCTATTTGGGATTACACTTTCTTAGTAAAGTACAAATTCTAGTACTTTTTGAGTTGAGCCCCATCCGGGATTCGAACTCACACCCTCAGAGTCAGGCACCTAATCCCCAGCACACAAAGTCAGCCGCCTAACCCACTCAGCTACCGCGACTTCCACAAAAGTGGAAGTCAGACAACTGGTAGCCTAGACTGCCGGCTTTGTGTACCCCTCTGATAAATGTTAATTGGCACGGCTCCCACGGCCAAAAGCTATGATTACACAATGCCATTTAGAAAGTGGTCAAATGTAACATATGTTATATTTGGGATTACAGTTTCTTGGTAAAGTACAAATTCTAGTACTTTTTGCATGCTGGCGATTAGGTGCCTGACTCTGAGGGTGTGAGTTCGAATCCCGGATGGGGCTCAACTCAAAAAGTACAAGAATTTGTACTTTACTAAGAAAGTGTAATCCCAAATATAACATATGTTACATTTGACCACTTTCTAAATGGCATTGTGTAATCAATTGCTGACTTTAGTCCGGAAGTCCATGTCACATGCTCAGTACTGGAAGCTCATGTGATATGGACTCATGTTGCAGAAGTAACAACTGTAACAACAACTGTAACAACTGTAACAACTGTAACAAATGTTCCTTACAGATCTGGATCTGCTTTTCTCCTATCACCAACCTGACCACGTCATACTACAGCATCACATCCATGCAAGTCAACTGGTTGTCACTCATCTATCTCGTGGCTTGCATTCCCTTTGGATTTATTGCAACATGGCTTCTCGACACTGTCGGCCTCCGGAGTAGTGTGAGTTGGTTTCTTTGAGTGGTCTTTGAAGTGGCGTTTCCTTAATACAGTTGCTAACTGATCAAGATAAACAGCTTGTTTATTACTAGTAATAATTGATAAAGATAAACAGCTTCTTTATAACAGATAATATTCGATATGGACAAACAGTGTCTTAATTAAGTAGATATTGATAAAACATCTTTATTAAGGTAAGTAACCAATATTGATAAACTGCATGTGTGTTGTATAAGAAGCTGCTTTTCCTGCGGGTAGGTTTGTTATGTGGTGCTGATCTTGCTTATCCACAAAAACCTGTCCTTGTGCGTGTTGTACCAGGTAATCAGGTAGTGAGAATACAAGGATGTATTTAGATGTCAAATTGGTCCCATTATGTGAGTGTGAAACAAATAATTATATTTAGACATGAAATGAAGTTTTTGTTTATCATGCTTATGAGTTCCAAAAGTTTTCGATCATTAATTAGAATAACTAGACATGGTAAATACTGTTATTCTTATTCAAACATTCTTTTTTAGATAATTTTATCAGCATGGTTGAACCTGATTGGCTGCCTGCTCCGATCTCTAACGGTGTTTGACTTCATGCCCCATGATGCCCGGTATCCCGTGCTGATGACCGGGCAGCTCTTTGCTGCTTGTGCTCAGCCATTCATTATGTTCTGTCCCACCAAACTGGCAGCGCTGTGGTTCCCTGATACACAGCGAGCTACAGCAAACACTTTGGCCTCTATGGGTGAGCAAACCCCTATGCATTGTTCTATTTTGATCTTAACTAGAACTGCTAAGTCAGCTAATCTGTCTTCAAAGGGAGTGTTTAAGAGTGATAAAATGCTTATCTTGATACAGACTGGTCATGATACAATGATTATCTTGACACACTGGCCATGATACAATGATTATCTTGACACACTGGCCATGAAACAAGGATTATCTTGACACACTGGCCATGATACAATGATTATCTTGACACACTGGCCCTGATACAATGATTATGTTGACACACTGGCCATGATACAATGATTATCTTGACACACTGGCCCTGATACAATGATTATCTTTATACACTGAACCTGATACAATGATTATCTTGACACACTGGCCATGATACAATGATTATCTTGACACACTGGCCATGATACAATGATTATCTTTATACACTGAACCTGATACAATGATTATCTTGACACACTGGCCATGATACAATGATTATCTCGACACACTGGCCATGATACAATGATTATCTTGACACATTGGCCATGATACAATGATTATCCTGACACACTGGCCATGATACAATGATTATGTTGATACACTGGCCATGATACAATGATTATCTTGCCACATTGGCCATGAAACAATGATTATCTTGACACACTGGCCATGATACAATGATTATCTTGACACACTGGCCCTGATACAATGATTATCTTGACACACTGGCCATGATACAATGATTATCTTGACACACTGGCCATGATACAATGATTATCTTGACACACTGGCCATGATACAATGATTATCTTGACACACTGGCCCTGATACAAGGATTATCTTGACACACTGGCCCTGATTCAATGATTATCTTGACACACTGGCCATGATACAATGATTATGTTGACACTTTGGCCATGATACAATGATTATCTTGACACACTGGCCATGATACAATGATTATCCTGACACACTGGCCATGATACAATGATTATCTTTATACACTGGCCTTGATACAATGATTATGTTGATACACTGGCCATGATACAATGATTATGTTGACACTTTGGCCATGATACAATGATTATCTTGACACACTGGCCCTGATACAATGATAATGTTGATACACTGGCCATGATACAATGATTATCGTCACAAATTGGCCACGATACAATGTTTATGTTGACACACTGGCCATGATACAATGATTATGTTGACACACTGGCCACGAAGCAATGACTATGTTGATACACTGGCCATGAAACTATGGATTATCTTGACACACTGGCCGTGATACAATGATTATCTTGACACACTGGCCATGATATAATGATTATGTTGATACACTGGCCATGAAACAAGGATTATCTTGACACACTGGCCATGATACAATGATTATCTTGATACACCAGTCACAATGCAATGAATATATCAAAACCTGGCCATGATAGTGACACAATGTGTTGATGTATTAATTAAATGTAATACAATGTGTTATGAAAGGCTAATCACACACAGACACAAGCATTGACTGTTGCCTTGTATTGACTGATATATCACTAAACTGCCATCCCGTGAGACTCATCCATTCATCTCAGTGTTATTGGTCTCCTCAGCTAATCCTATTGGAATAATGGTTGCAAATTTGCTGGCACCAAGGCTAGTCACTGTTCCGTCGGAGTTACCACGCTTGGTAAGTACAAGTAATAGGGCTGTAACGATGCATCAAACTAGCGATGAATTGCAATTGTTGAGTCTCCGATAGCAATTAATCGATGGTAGAAAGGAAATACCATCGATGCATCAATAGTATATTTGACTGTAGTGTGATAGTTTAGTAATTGACTTCCCTTGATAATTGCGCAGTGCAAAATGCAGGATGTTTGGGTGCAGACTTACAGTTTCATTCAGCTTATGTGTTAAATGTTTAGTTGAGCTGGGTTTCATGTTTCTTGTCAGTTATGTGTTAAATGTTTCGTTGATCTGGGTTTCATGTTTCTTGTCAGTTATGTGTTAAATGTTTAGTTGATCTGGGTTTCATGTTTCTTGTCAGTTATGTGTTAAATGTTTCGTTGATCTGGGTTTCATGTTTCTTGTCAGTTATGTGTTAAATGTTTCGTTGATCTGGGTTTCATGTTTCTTGTCAGTTATGTGTTAAATGTTTGCTGATCTGGGTTTCATGTTTCTTGTCAGTTATGTGTTAAATGTTTCGTTGATCTGGGTTTCATGTTTCTTGTCAGTTATGTGTTAAATGTTTCGTTGATCTGGGTTTCATGTTTCTTGTCAGTTATGTGTTAAATGTTTCGTTGATCTGGGTTTCATGTTTCTTGTCAGTTATGTGTTAAATGTTTCGCTGGATCTGGGTTTCATGTTTCTTGTCAGTTATGTGTTAAATGTTTCGCTGATCTGGGTTTCCATGTTTCTTGTCAGTTATGTGTTAAATGTTTCGCTGATCTGGGTTTCATGTTTCTTGTCAGTTATGTGTTAAATGTTTCGCTGATCTGGGTTTCATGTTTCTTGTCAGTTATGTGTTAAATGTTTCTGTTGATCTGGGTTTCATGTTTCTTGTCAGTTATGTGTTAAATGTTTCGTTGATCTGGGTTTCATGTTTCTTGTCAGTTATGTGTTAAATGTTTCGTTGATCTGGGTTTCATGTTTCTTGTCAGTTATGTGTTAAATGTTTCGTTGATCTGGGTTTCATGTTTCTTGTCAGTTATGTGTTAAATGTTTCGTTGATCTGGGTTTCATGTTTCTTGTCAGTTATGTGTTAAATGTTTCGTTGATCTGGGTTTCATGTTTCTTGTCAGTTATGTGTTAAATGTTTCGTTGATCTGGGTTTCATGTTTCTTGTCAGTTATGTGTTAAATGTTTCGTTGATCTGGGTTTCATGTTTCTTGTCAGTTATGTGTTAAATGTTTCTGATCTGGGTTTCATGTTTCTTGTCAGTTATGTGTTAAATGTTTCGTTGATCTGGGTTTCATGTTTCTTGTCAGTTATGTGTTAAATGTTTCGTTGATCTGGGTTTCATGTTTCTTGTCAGTTATGTGTTAAATGTTTCGTTGATCTGGGTTTCATGTTTCTTGTCAGTTATGTGTTAAATGTTTCGTTGATCTGGGTTTCATGTTTCTTGTCAGTTATGTGTTAAATGTTTCGTTGATCTGGGTTTCATGTTTCTTGTCAGTTATGTGTTAAATGTTTCGTTGATCTGGGTTTCATGTTTCTTGTCAGTTATTCAAAGAGACTGAAACGACTTCAACTTGTATTTATTTCATATACACTATACATTCATTGGGGAAATGACTTCAAATGAGACAATTCAAGGAGAAACTATCGCTGTTGCAATAGTTGTTTCCCCTCTGTAGTCACCCCTAACAAGTAACATCAGCTGGACATAACCATGGTAACATGTAATTGGCTAATCAACAAGAATGAAGTCATGTATAGCCACAGTCTGCCAAAGACATGCTTCTACTGTCCTGATTCTGTCTATTGGCATCGTTAGATCAGTAGATGTGTTAATATATGGACTCTTGTTGGTGTAGTTCCTGTTCTGTGTAACCATGGCAACAGAACTACCTCCACAACCTACTTGTTACACTTTATTCAACTGTATGTAATTTAGACTTTTCCGATTACAAGGATTAGCTGTTGGGATATCTGTGTTTTCAGTTGTGGACATGTACAGGTGTGGCTGGTCTAGGGGTTGTTATGGCAACGTTTGGAGTCTGTAGTTCTGTCCCACCAACACCACCAACTTCAAGTGCAGCAGAGGAATCGGAACCATTCTTCTCGGGACTGAAAAAGGTATTTTCTCTTATCTGTATCTCATAATGCTTTTGACCACCTCCATGGTACAGTGGTTAGAGAGTTTGTCCATTAGTAGTTTGATCCTGGGCTGTGTCACACCAATAGATATTAAGAGATCATACCTACCTGGTTCTCTGCATAAAGCACCAACCAGTTGGTTGTGATTCAGTATACTAGGTCTATTTGGGGTAGCTATGTTAAACAAGGAGTTTTGTGTTTCAGCTCCTGCGGGTGAAGTCCTACTGGGTGCTGTGTTTCGTGTTCGGTGCTGGTCTGGCCATCTTTACAGCATTCACTACATTTACAGAACAGATTCTATGTCCGAGGGGATACGTCAATGTAGGTACATGACTAGTTCTTTCCTATATATAATATGGGGGGAAAGGAATCAGCCTGTCTGTCCATCTGTCTCCCTGTCTGTCAGTACATAATCTGTATTCTTTCCTCAAACTTTGCACACTCAAATGTCAGGTGGTCAACTGGTGCCCTTTGCTATTTGGGAATTTTATTTTTTTTCCATTTTCTTGGCAACAAGTTTTTTAATGATATCTTCAGAACTACCACTTTCAGTATGCACACGCAATGATCAAATTGAAAACTGGTGCTTTAATTCTTGACTGAATTTCAAATGTTGTTACAATTCTGTTTCTCTATATGTTAAGATTGTGTTTACCATGATTACTTATATTTACATTGATTTAATTGTAAGACATTACAGTGTAATGCACCAGTTGTGTGATATCTGCTAAGTGACATCTGAAAAGGACCTTACATGCAACATTCTGAACACCAATTCCTTGGTATTATCTTGGTAGCTCAATAGCAAGTGGTTTACATGGACAGACAGAACAGATAGGAATTTGTTTGTCAAGTTGGACAGGTCACTGTTGATCAGCCAGGTGGAGGAGGGTGTGGGGTCATGGGGACTTCCGTCATCTTCTGATGGCTCTTGTTCAATATAAACATTTGACAAAACTAATTCTGTTGCGAAGTATACAATAGTGTCATACAGGTATCTGTATCGTGTCGTATCACATTGTATTGGGAGGTGAAGTATTTGTGATACAGGTATATGTATGGTGTTATGTATCACAATGTATTGGGAGGTGAAGTATTTGTGATACAGGTATATGTATGGTGTTATGTATCACAATGTATTGGGAGGTGAAGTATTTGTGATACAGGTATATGTATGGTGTTAGGTATATGTATGGTGTATATGTATGAGAATGTATTGGGAGGTGGAAGTGTTTGTGAGCACACAACACAGGAGAAGAAGGACACATGAGAACACACACTGAACACTGGAGGAAGACACACAGACAAGGACAAACACAGACACAGGACCACAACACACAGACATGGTACACAGATCGGATGGAGAACAATGGAAGGACAGACAGACACAACACACACACAGGACCACAACACAAGACACAGGACCACACAGGAACACAGACACAGGAGAATCACACAGACATGGACAACAGAGGACACCACAACCACTGAACACAACACTGGAGGACACACACAAGGAGGTGGAAGACACAACAGCACAAGGTACACAGGACACAGAATCACACAGACAGACACAATCACACACTGAAGGACACACAGGAATCACACAGGTACATGCATCATGACAGAATCACACACATGACATCAGACATCATGGAGGACCACACACACAGGTGGAAGACAACACAGATATGGACACATGGAGGAACGGACAGATACAGTGGAAACATTCTGTGATATGTTCCTTCCAGAAGATGATTATGACCTAGAATCACATAGACTTGTTGAAGTCAAGTTACAATGGTACTATCCCATATCCAATCACTGAGAGACCCATTGTTTTAGCAGGTTCTCCACAGCATGGATCTTCTTAAGACAGGCAAGAATTATATTCTATGCAACTGTTATAAATGCACAAAATTGTTAAGGTTGACTTCTTTTGATTCTGAAAATAAGATGCTACCCATTTTTCATCAAGGTACAAGAAGATTGGTAGTTCCCGAGAGGTTGTATGAACAGTACATGAATTACAAATTAGGTGTCTGCCCACCACCTACTGGTGGATCCAAGCAAATAAGTACATTGTATTTCTTCTTACAGAGTTTCTCTGGTTTGTGTGGGGCGCTGATGATTGGCGTGGGTGTTGTTGGCGCTGCTGTGGCTGGTGTTATCTGTGATAAGACAAAGCGTTTTGAAGAAGTTGCCAAAATCAGTTTTGCCGGAGCCACAGTGTTTGGGATAGTATTTACGGAGGTAAGAACATATTGTATTTACGAAACAGTATGATGACGGTTGCATGTTCACAAGTAACATCTTTATTCTAGTGACCCGTTAAATACCGGTGAGTATACTCTTCAGGCATTCACAGCAATGTTAGGTTTTACCAAGCATTAAGTGTGTACCTGGTAGTATGGTGAACAAGCTGAGGATGTGTCTGTTGCTCCTGCAGTAGGAAATGAGGACAGAAAGTTGACATCAACATAAGTGGATGAATGAATGATGTAAAAAACATTTACAAGTAACTTAACTCCTGCATCGTATTAAATCTAGAATGTTCATGTAATGTAGGGAATACAATAATAGCCCAACCACCAGGAGTGCAACTGTCAGTGCTGATGTTAAAGCTCAAATCCAGGGATCCCATAATTCAAATACTGTAGCCAACACTTCAGGTTCTGAACACTTGTACACTTGTACACTTGTACACTTGTACACTTGTACACTTGTATTTTGCTTTCAGGTTAGTCGTTTCAGAGACATGAAAATCGAGATTGCCGGAAGCATCGCTTTGTTTGGGTTCTTTGGCTTTGCATTGTATCCTATATGCATGGAGTTAGCAGTTGAGGTTACCTACCCTGTTGCCGAGGCAACCAGTTCAGGGATGCTGTTTATATCAGGGTAAGGATTATTAATATTGTGTGTAATTTGTGAAGGAAGTTCATAGAACACATGATCTCCCCAACTCTGTCCTAATTAGATCCATGTGTTCTAACTACTAACTGCACTGAACTAACCGGGTGTCTGTTGTCCTAATTAGATCCATGTGATCTAACTACTAACTGCACTGAACTAACCAGGTGTCTGTTGTCCTAATTAGATCCATGTGATCTAACTACTAACTGCACTGAACTAACCAGGTGTCTGTTGTCCTAATTAGATCCATGTGATCTAACTACTAACTACACTGAACTAACCAGGTGTCTGTTGTCCTAATTAGATCCATGTGATCTAACTACTAACTGCACTGAACTAACCAGGTGTCTGCACTAACTAACCAGGTGTCTGTTGTCCTAATTAGATCTATGTGATCTAACTGCACTCACTAACCAGGTGTCTGTTGTCCTAATTAGATCCATGTGATCTAACTGCACTAACTAACCAGGTGTCTGTTGTCCTAATTAGATCCATGTGATCTAACTGCACTAACTAACCAGGTGTCTGTTGTCCTAATTAGATCCATCTGATCTAACTGCACTCACTAACCAGGTGTCTGTTGTCCTAATTAGATCCATGTGATCTAACTGCACTAACTAACCAGGTGTCTGTTGTCCTTCCAGCCAGGTCCAGGGGATTGTGTACATGTTGGTGTCCCAGATGATTGCACAGCCCCTGCCTGATGATGAAGTGGGCCTCCCAACCGGCTGCAACACCAACGGCTCATCTATAGGTGCCGACTTCACACCTCAAGACTGGACAAGTAGGGTTCTGGATTTACTTTTCTTTGGTTTTCTATAAGGGTGATATCCCCTTGAGTGAAATAACATTATGCAGAGACTACTCGCAGTCTGCCTCGATAACACTATAATTTTCAATCTGTGATTCGTAGCCATATTTTGATAATTGAGTAATTCATTATTAAATATTTGTCTTTGCAACAGTTCTATGTATATAAGTCTGGATGAACCTGATCTACCTTTATCTATTTACCTGTATTTACCTGTACTTCCCTGTATCTACCTGCATCTACCTGAGTCCGTGTATTTATGATGTGAACTGCTTCTTGTTTCAGTCCCCAACTTGTTTCTGAATGGTGTGGCAGCCTTCGTCTCCATTGTTCTCATTCTCCTGTTCCGTCCAAACTACCGCCGGATGAGAGCTGAGGAACTTGCAAAGGCAGAGACTATTCTTAATTATGAATCTGTAGACTCAGGGTGATTTAAGTGTTAAATTATTCAGAAAATAGTGTACAGCTTAATGTTGACCATCTGTGAAATACCTGGGTATTATTTTGGTGATGATAGTCACTTGTGTCTGAATGAGCCTGGTTTGCCACCCACAGTGCCTGCTGGGTCTACTAGCTGCACAGACACTTCCTGTTTGCTATGTGTTGTCCCTGGACAAATTGCTGACACATAGCTTGAAGATACTGCTAGGGATATGACAGGATGCCTTTTCAAGATAATTACCATGGTTACCAACAATGTTGTGTGTGCCAGAATCCTATAATGGCAAGTTTGAATCCCAGGATGGCCTTGATTATTTTTCCTTATCCTGACTCATGCTCTTTTGCTTGTCTTCTTCTTCTTGCTAACATAGTGGAACACTTGTATCTCCTTATTTGAAGCCCCTTCAAAATAAAATCACTAATTGGTACTCACCACGAAGTTGCTCCCCTTTGTTTCCCCTGGCGGAAAGGTGTCGCCACCCTCTGGCCATGTGCTCCACTCTCCTTTCTTCTTCACCAGTGAGCAGGATGTGAGAGCCTTTGTGTCTCCTTACACACCATATCCTTTGATAATCTCTTAGTTTTACCTCTCATAGGTTACTATAGAGGTATAGCTAGTATCCTTTACTATTTGTATTGATTAATTATCGTGATTTCTACTGTTTATTCACGGTATTCGCGGATTGTTCAGCTAGCTTTACGCTGATGAAAATCTGTACGATTTGTAGATTACGCTTTTCTGCCTCCCATCCACATGTAATATGCCCTAGTTGTTCTACTGCGCGCTTAATTCACGCTGCAGTTACTGCATTAATTTATCTCATTCTGCATTTAATAAATATCATCTTTATGCCTTTAAGACGCATGCAGATAGATCACGCAAACAAGGGCAAAACATGGCAGAGAGTCCAGATATTCCATCCAGTCAGCTGCTAGCGATCGACCCTCTCCGCCTGGTGTTCTGCTAGAGACCCCTGCGGCAGAGGAACGGGACGAGTCCGCTACTCGAAGAAACGACCGCCTCCCCAGACATCCCGCCATTGCAGACCAAGTCTAAGAGGGCCTCATCGCCGCCTCAACGCAGATTGAGGACACTCCAGGGCAGCGCAGACTTCCAAAGGGAAATCTACGAAGACAGCAAGAACTTTCTCAGCCGAGATCGCTCCAGCAGCAGAATTGGGCCTCTACGATGATCAGCCGATAATCATCCCCGACTTACGCAGAAGAAGCGACCGTGTCAGCGACTGTGACTTCTGCAGAGATCACCATGCAGCCTGATGCCTCTCTACACCGACGCCAGACGCCATTGATGTGAACCCCATCGCAGAAAAGACGCCGACGACTTCGGCCACAGATCATCCCAGAAGACATGATGCGCAGATTATGAACATCATGGAGGACCACTACAAACTGCGCAGCAGGGTCCGAGCCTTCGCTGAAGGCTCCAACGTGACAGCACCCCAGAGGCACCCCCAATAACGTAGCAGCCAAGACGATGTCACCTTCGCTAAGGAAGTCCCGCACCACCTTGACGGCGACCTAGATGTACAGCTTTCGCTAAGGCCTTCGCTAAGGCGGAGAGATCATCACCATCTTCGATTTCATCTCTAGATATGGACTCAGACCATCAGACATCACGGAGGCCTTCGCTAAGGTCATATCATCGATCCCCGACCGACGCGAATGAAGCTTCGCTAAGGCATTCGCTAAGGACATATGATTCCAGATCCTCATCATCTAGAAGAACATCGAGGGACTGCCGGAAGAGCTTCGCTGGCTATCAACATTCACCTCACAAGTCTCCGAAGATCATCCCATAGACGATCTCCACTTCGCTCATCACCAGGTCGATCACCCGCCAGATCTCCACATAGAGCGGCGCGACAAGTCAACTAGATCGCCACAAACCTCATCAGATATACAGACAGCTACACGCAGTCCCGGCGAGCATCTACAATTTGTTAATGATGATGGTTTTGAGGATGATGGAGGAATCATATTTTCTGATGCAGAGATACGGTATTGATGGTCAATAACCTAGATCTCACATCACCATCTAAAAGTGGCAATACAGCTTAGACGATTTGATGAAGGAAGATGATCCAGATGCAATCACTCTACCCCGACGAATCTCGATTATGCAGTGCCACAGAATCTAGATGCAGCTTTCCAGAAAGCTACGAAAGTTCAGATACCACATCTGCCCAACTTTCAAGCCAAGAAGTTCTCCACGATAACATGGACTCCTTCTACAAGGCCCAGGACATCGATGAGAACTATAAGATCATCAGCTTATGTAAAGAACAAGATTTACAAGATGGATGATCGCAGTTGGCTCATATAGAAACCATGACGAGACGTGATGTTCTTTGGGTTAAATAGATCTAGGACGATCAATGAGACTCTTATTACTAGATTCCGGATTCCACGACGGAAGATGATAGAATGATTTATTCTGCCTTACTTATGCAAAAGAAAGATCAGCAGTTTTAACGGATCATCTTACATCTGTTTCAGCAGCACTGACCTTAGCTCGTCAGCCAAGGCCTCCTCGCCTCCTGTAATTGGGGAGAACTTTACAGCCCCACTTTATACAGCCCCGTGGTCGACAACATCCATCTTTGACGGAGAAATCGACAAAGTCGCCAAGGAAGTCTCTAAGGATTCCAGGGAAGTCCTTATGATTAGATCGATGGACACACTAGCCAGCCATTCATTCGGCCAGACTTCACAAAGATACTCAGGCAGATCTAAGTTCACGGGCCTACAAAGAGCAAGAGACAGGAAGATAGCCAGCTCTAGAGGTAAGATTCTTTCGTCGCCCATATGGCAACTATAGAGGAGGATCAGGAAGAGGCAGGACACCCAGAGGTTCCCGCAATTATAGACGCTGAAACACAGGTTCGAACGACTGGAGTCTTCCACCCCCAGCCGCTCCAGTACAGCCAGCTCAAGTGGGTGGACGCCCAACTACACTGGGAAAACTGGGGAATATTGCAAGACCCTTACGCCTCCAACATTCTTCAACACGGATTTCAGATCCCTCTACAGGCTAAGCCTCCGCTGACAATCAAACCCCCAAGTTCGACATTTACAAGCTTAACAACTACCAAAGATAAGAGAGGCTGTTTCATCACTCCTATCCAAACAGGCCATAGAAGTAATAGATCAAGCAAACGCCGAACCAGGTTTCTACTCCCCAGTTTTCCTAGTTCCCAAGAAAAACTCCACGGAGAAATACAGACTCATCTACAACATGAGCTTTTTCAACAAGAACTATCTACGCAAACCACCGGGTTTCGCAGATGATACATTTACCTCAGTTACGCCAGATGATTCGGCCCTATGGACTACATGGGCAGCATAGATCTACAGGATGCCTACCTGCACATCCCCATTCATCCCGATTCCAGGAAATACCTACGATTTACTCTAGAAGGGCTACATTACCAGTGGAAAGTAATTCCCATTCGAATATCATCAGCCCCTGGCTATTCACGAGGATAACGAAAACCGACATCAAATTTCTACATCGCCAAGGGCTACGAGAGCGCTTTTTTACCTCGACGACGGGATACAAGTAGATCAAGATCCACTGCGCCTCAAACTACAGTTAAATTACATCATAAAGCTACTAACACAACTAGGTTGGTTAGTAAACTTACGCAAGTCGGACCTAGTACCATCGCAAGACCTGCAGTTCCTAGGTATTCGATTCATCACAAATCGCAACCGTATTATGGTACCAGAAGACCGCTATTCAAGATACAGCAGACCATTCCACCAGCTCTACTCTCCGCTACCACTCGCGACAATGGCAGAGCCTACTAGGTCTTCTCACATCAGCCCAAGACATGACTGTCACAGGCAGATTACAGTTACGCCCCCTACAGGTCTCATCAACGACATCTCAACGATGTACAACCATTCAGTCTACCAAAACATCTCAGACCGCATCTACTATGGTGGACCAAGAAATCGAATGTCTGCGAAGGGATTTGTTTAGCAGAGCAGGAATACAAAACCCATCTGTATGTAGACGCTGTTACTCCAAGGTTGGGGAGCTCATCTCACCAACCACACGATATCAGGGTTATGGAATCAGCAAGAATGCAAACTCCATATAAACAGTCTAGAAATGAAAGCTGTAATCAACGCCATTCTACATTGGAGCACATTTCTACAAAATGCTACTAATGATCCATACAGACAATTCGACAGTGGCGCTTCTACATAAACAAGCAAGGCTCAACGAGATCGATGAACCTTTTGAACCTAAGCTTTCAACTGTTCGATTTAATACAAGATCTAAATCTACATGTCAGAGCAGTGCACATTCCCGAGCCAGAAATATACTAGCAGACGCCTCTCGCCTCATCTACCATCACCGACAGAGTGGATGATCAACAGGGAAATTTTTTTGCACAGATAATCAAGCAATTAGGCCCGCTAATAGACCTATTCGCCACGCCGATTCAACAATCAGCTACCGACATTCGTGGTCACCAGTCCCAGACCCCCAAGCTTGGGCAACGGACGCCTAAGTCTATCATGGAAGGCCTCAATGCGCATCGCTGCTTCACGCCAGCAATAATACCTCAAGTATTACAGAAAATCAGACAAACACAGAGCCTACAACTCACTTTGGTCGCTCTACTGGTCGGCCAGAACGTGGTTTCCCATACTAATTCAAGAAATCGGTCAACCAACACTGGAGCTACCTGCCGCTAAACCTGTTAATTCATCCTCACACCAAACAAGTGCACGGAAACCCAGCAATGTTCCAACTACACGTATGGACTGTATACAAATGTGTTTAAACAAGAGAGGATATTCTGCCAGGGCGGCAAAAGCAGTCACGCTTTGCCTTTACGCTATTCAACTCGTGAACTTGTACGACGACAAGTGGCACAGTTTCAAAAATTATGCAACAAAGAAAGGGTTTACAGCAAGAGAGGCTTCACAACCTCAAGTGGCAGACTATTTGTGTTACCTACGCCAAAACAAACATTTAAAAGGTTCAACGATATCAACATATCTTGCCGCTTTTAGTTCTGTAATCACCATGAGAACGGGTGTCAAATTGACAAGATCTCCAGAGTTACTGGCCTTACTACGAAGCCCGATTGAGGACCAAAAGCGAAGTTCCACTTCCAGCTTGGGATCTGAATGTAGTGTTACAACACCTCACGAGTGAGGTCTATGAACCTTTGAATCGACAAACTTTGAATTTCTCTCACAGAAAACACTGTTTCTGCTATCGCTAGCCACAGCAGCAAGAATGTCTGAAATTCACGCCTGGATTACGA